TGCATGGCTTCACCTTGTGTTTTCAACTTCTCTTTCTTTCTATCATCCTTTTATTTCCGGAGTTCTTCATGGAGGCTCTACATGGTGGTTCGTCAAGGGTTTATTTCATTCTTCAATTTTTCTTCAAGATTTCTCTCGAAGTTAAGTTCTGCCAAGCTATACTCTAAATAAACATGGTGTTCAACACATGTCTTGTTTTGAGGAGTTCAAGCATTCTTCATCTTGCATTTCGAAGCGCAATTCTTTCTCTCTCATCTTTTGAGGTGGTGTTATGTCACTCTTAACAATTTCCCTTCGTGTGTCATGATTCACAAGTTGTCCAGAATGACATATTTTAAACCCATCATTTTCAATTTGTTCATCAGATCCTTTGCAACCCATCAATCTCTTCATTGGAGTTATCTTGGGTTATATTTCACCTAAAGCTTTCCCTAAGGATTGTTGCTATTTATGGTGCTTATAAATGACCCAAGTTCTTCATTTATCCTCCCAGTGAAATAAGTTTCTCGTCTCCTTGTTGATATCAATCCAGTCTATTGTTTCCGTTAGTGGCAGAATTTCACCTCGTAATTTTGAGATGTTTTTCATAAGCCCACAACAACCTTATTCTTTTGTTGTTTAATTTTCAACAACTCCATTCAATCCTTCTTTCTAAGGATGCCTTCAAATTCATTGATGGTAGAAGTTATCATTTTCTTCTACTTTCTTTCTTCCTAACGATCTATCTTCTATTCTTTCGTTCTGGGGGCATTCTGATGTTGCACTCTTCGACCCATCATTCCATTTTTGTCAAAGATCATGTTTTTTCCTTTGCTTATCCATTCAACCGGAGTGTCATGTCCTCCATTCAAGTTCTCTCATCTTATCAAGTTTTGCCTTCCTTCTCAACCGGAGTGCTGTCTGAAATCTTTCTTACCCCTTGTGTCATTCTTTCAATAGTTCCGGAGGTAGTGTGTTGTTGATTTCATCAACTATCCTCTCATCTTGTAAAGTCCTGCAACAAAAAATGCACAACATCTACTCCCTCCGTTCCAAATTAGTTGACTTGAATTTGTCTAAATATGAATGTATCTATACTTGTTTAGTGTCTAGATACATCTGTATCTAGATAAATATGAGTCAAGTAATTTGGAACGGAGGGACTAACTCGATTGAGGCAACACTGGTAAGGCGGTTCTACATATATAGGTTAGATAGTAATCCTCTCTCCATGGCCTTTGAGACTAGGGCAGTGGGGTGTGAGTGAGAAAACTATTCGGTAGATAGTACCTAAAGGCCGACTTAGAAGCCAAGTATCAGTCCCAAAAAGTAGCTTGGCAATTATTTGTGAACCTAAAGGAGGTTTTTTTTGCGAATAACCTAAAGGAGGTTTTCTAGAGAGTAGGTAGGTGCGAGTTAATCACATTCAAATGAACGAGGGGTGCGAGGGTTTGCCAGCTAAATCAAGGGAGTATGTACAATGGTAGCATTGAGGCCAAAGAAGCTCCAAACTTGAACTAGTATGTACGCAAACTTCATAAGTAACCGACTATTCGAAATAAGAAGGTTTTTGACCCCTATACCACCATTTTTTCGTTTGTGAACAATTTTCCAATGAATAAGACACTTGGCCCCCATGCAAGTTTCCTCCTAAAAGAAATCTCTGCGAATTATGTCAACTACTTCAGAAAATTTCCAAAGCTTGGAAGAAGGGAGGCATATTGTGCTTTATAGAGTGTCAATACTGCTGGTGGAAAGCCGAGCTAGAACCATCCGGACCATGGCTAGCAAGACTACTCATCTGTAGGAAGGCCTCATGAATTTCCTTCTCGGTGAAGAGTGCCTCGAGGATTGAGAGTTGGGGTAAGTGGGTGGCACATAAGTCAGTGAGGGGAAAATATCGACACATTATGTTTAGGGATGCCAATTAGAACACGATAAAATACTTTGAGAAGGTGAGCTTTCTGGACATAGGAGAAGTATTACTCCTCCATTGCTTCGAGAACTACAATTTTAATGCCAAAAACATTGGGAGGCAGCAACAAGGAAATACTCAGTGTTTGCAGTACAATTAATGGCAACACGGATCTTTCATACTTTCAAGTAAAAATTCGTGTAGATTAGAAATGTGATGGTCACGTAGTCTATTGCCGATGAGAATGGACAATTTCAGGTTCATCTTTCATTTGCAAAAATTGGCGTTAATGAGAGAGAGAGAGACCGCCATGGGCACCTCAGTGAAAACTAGAATATCGGCAGATACTTGAAGTCTTTACATTCCACAATTCATACTTGCTAGGATAAGAGTTGTGTGTGTGTGTGCGTGC